GCGCCAGAGTCCAGGTACCACCGCTGCTCCTGCTCACCACCCACACATCCGAGGTGGACTTGGGCGCGCAGTTTGTCGAGGTAGATAGCTTTCAGAGCCTTCCTAGGCCCTTTCACCGCCATCACCTCTCCCTTCTCCTCGGCCTCAACGTTGTGCAGTGCATAGAACATCACCATCAGGAGAGTGGCCTCATCATCATCATTAGCCTGCGCTAGATGAGCATCAGCCTTCTTCTCCTGCTTGCGATTTGGGCACTCCTTTGCCCAATGGCCCGTCTTCCCGTAGCATCGGCAGGCGTTGGGGTCGACCTTCTTCTTTTTCTCCAAAGAAGCCTTGCCGCGGCACTTGCCATCGCCACCGTGTTTGGAGAAGCCTTCCCCAGAGTTCCTCCGGGCAGCCCACTTCTCTGTCAGTAGCAGCTTGTCGCTGTCCTTCGTTGTTGTGGCCTGCTCCATGCGCTCATCCACCGTCCATAGATGACCTATCACATCCTCAATGGTGAGGGTGGACATGTCCAGCATCGTCTCTATGGAGAGAGCGATCTAGATGTACTTCACCGGCATGGAGTGGAGGTACTTGGAGACCGCCTCTTCTTCATCGATGGTGACGCCGTGGCTCCTCAGCTTGCTAATGAGCGTCTACAGGCGGAGGGAGAAGTCCTCCACTGATTCACCATCCTTGAACTTGAGGTTGGCGTACTCCTGCTTCAGCAGCTGGGCCGTCGCCTTCTTTGCACGGTCAGAACCGACGCACATCGCCACAATGGCCTCCCACGCCTCCTTAACCAAGCTCTTCACCCCCAATGGCTCCCTGTACTCCGCTAGGACAGTAGCAAGGATAGCCTCCAACGCTGACATGTCATCTTCTTCGTTGTCGGTGCCCTTGTCAATAGCATTCCAGAGCCGTCGGGCTCTGAGCTTGACTTTCATGGTCATCGCCGACTCGCCATAGTTGGTGCGAGTCAGCGTCGGCCAACTGGTGCTGCTAACCTCTCACACCGTGTGCACAATGACCTCCTGTCATGGCTGGATAGCCACAGTTGCGCCGCTGCTGTCATCGATCTCCAAACCGTCCGTCATCGCTAGCGGTTAGTCCGACGACGGCGCTTGTATAGCTCTGATACCACTTTTTGGCCCCTGGGATCTCCGGCATGGGTGAGCCGACCACTCACCAGTGTTGCCGACCACGACACTATCGTTGGCAACCACACAATATGGCTAGAGGTATAAGAAGGGAGGGAGAACAGAACGTGCACACACACAGCACAAGCACCAGCGTTGGCCGGAGCTCTGTAGAGGAGATGACAAAACTGAACTCGCTCTCTTTACTGAGTTGCAGTGGCAAACTATATATACAACTCTACCCATCTAATCCTAGTACACAGATATATCAGGCCGCCATGCTGCTATAGTGACTAGATATGACAGCAGGGCTGACTTTGGCGTCTGCCCCTGCTGTGGCGACAGTACGGTAGGAGAGCAGTTCAGCGCATGCCCCTGCCGTGGCTACAGTACCACAGCAAGGAGCCTTTTCGGCACCGCCTTCCCCTGCCGTGCATTCAAACAAGGGAGCAGCAAATTACTTAACAGTGTTGCCTTCTCCTCATACCCATCTAAATCCACATTATGCACCTTGCTCCCGTCTCTCCTCGTTCAGCCCCATATCACTGTCCATGCTCCTAATCTACCCTCCAGAAGTGATGATGGTCACAAGCTCGGCACGTGCCAGGTCCTTGATCCAGCCAACATGAAAAGCACCCTTCACTGCCATGTTCCTGAAGAGACATTTGAGAAGTTGTGCTTTGCCGGCTCTTCCTATGGCCAGCTGATTTGTGGTTGTGGCAGAAATTGTCTTATCATGGATGTGTTCACTGGTGCCAAAGTTTTATCTCCACAGCTCCCATTTACCAACAACACTTATTTGTACTGTGGCATGCTGACAACTCCCCTTGCATCACCAAACTCACACCTTCTAGTTTGCACGCTACCAGAAAAGAGAGGTCCGTTCCTGCTTGATTGGCTGATTGGAAGTGATTCTTGGTCATTACTACAGCTCAATCTTAATGATTCTGTGATTGTGCAGATTGTGGAGTTCAAGGGTCAGTTCATCGCGAGGGACAACTACCACAGGCTCTACACTCTGTCCTTAGCCCCCCAGCTTGGTCTGCAGGATAGCAACTGTGTGGTTGGACGACATACATGGATACCCATATACACAACCATCGCTGATGGTATGTAGCGGCATGCTTCTAATTGTTCACTACAGCTTGAGCCTTGCATCATCTAGAGCACCTGTCAACTACAAAGCCTACTGCCTGGACATGTCCACTGAACCTGCAACTTGGGTGGAGGTGGTGAAGCTGGAGAATGATGCCCTCTTTATGGGGTGTGATGTGAGGAGCCCGGCATTCTCTTGTATGAGCCCAAGACGATGGGGCAGGAGAAGCAACTGCCTGTACTACGCCCATGACAGTCAACCCTGGGTCTTGCATGGGATGGGACATGATGCAGATGCAGCTTGGGATGATTCCACTGACCCTGACCTTGTGTACAGCAGGGGCCTGTGCCTCAAGCTTCAGCCATTCGGGGTGTACCCGAGCATGTTCTACTTAGATGGACAGTGATCTGTGCGCACCCTATGTTGCTGGTAGGAAGACTTCTGCATTCGAATAGATGATGTCACTATGGTACTAGCACTTAGTAGTTGAAATAAGTCACTTTTCTCGTTGATAGTGGTGCCCCGGTCCGAACACTCCTTTTTTCCCCATCTGAATGAGGTGTTGGTAACGTTCCATCTGCATTTAAATAGTGCGTGTATCTGAAGGAAATGTTGATGTATGCTTTTGGAATATGAAGGGGAAACCCACTATGTGTACTCAAGATCAGCTTTCTGTCTATTCTTTTTGCTTTTGAACCGACCTGTTTAGATTATGTTTTTTTTTTGGAATTCTGGAATTCGAATTTGGAAGGAAATGTGTGTGAGACTAATGTCTATAAAAAAACTATACTGTGAGAAAAAAGAGTCAAAATATAATTCGTAATGGTTCCCAAACAGAAGAATTTGGAACTGGAATTGACGTGAACAAATTTATATTCTAGTAAAACAATAACTGAAGTACAATTTCAACACTCAAATGCGCGTCAGTTTTTTTTATTATTTTGGATAGGAAATGTTGTATAGTCGCTCAAAAAAAATGAGGGCAAAATTCTGAAATTGGAAGAAATTGTTAGGCCAGTTGTAAGCTTCATCATTTTGGCCCAAAGTTCCAATACGTGATACCTCTATGGAAAAAATCCACATTACCTCCCTCAACTTTTATGAAAGTCTGTTTTTCTTTCCTGAACTCTAAAACCAGGCAAAACACCTCCCTCAACTTTTAAAACCGTTCATCTTACCTCCGTGACCCGGTTATAATCGGTTTTGAAGGCGGTTTTGTCTTTTTCTTTTTTATTTATTTTGGCTAGATCTTTGAAAAATCATAGTAAATCGCAGAAAAATCATAAAATGGAAAATCCAATTTTATTGGACTCCACATGAGTAGATCTACAGAGTGAACATATAATATGGTATGCTTTAGTACAAAGTTTTTGCTGTAACTTTATATCTATGCTTTTCTGTAATTAAATGTAATAATTCATAGCTGCAGTTTCTATGGTCCAATTGTGTTGAAATTTTTATGGTGGACTAATTATTGTATGCTGAAATTGTAGTAAAAATTTCATATTCATTGGATCATGTATAACTTAGTTATAGATTTTATTTCGGTTTATGCTTGTTAAATATAAATAAATCTATAACTAAGCTATACATAATCCAATGAGTATGAAATTTTTACTACAGTTCAATCATACAATAATGAGCCCACCATAAAAATTTCATCACAATTGGACCATAGAAACTGTAACTATGAATTATTCCAAATAATTACAAAAAAACATATATCTAAAGCCACAACAAAAATTTTGTACTAAAGTTTACCATATTATATGTTCACTGTGTAGATCTACTCATGTGGAGTACAACAAAATTAGATTTTCTATTTTATGATTTTTCTATGATTTATTATGATTTTTCAAATATTCAGCCAAAATAAATAAATAAAAGAAAAAGACAAAACCGACTTCAAAACTGCTTATAATAGGGTCAGGGAGGTAAGATGAACAGTTTTAAAAGTTGAGGGAGGCGTTTTGCCTGGTTTTAGAGTTCAGGAAGGAAAAACGAACTTTCACGAAAGTTGAGGGAGGTAATGTAGACTTTTTCCTCTTGTAGTCCCTAATGTCTTTTTTGCTTGGTTCATTTGGCACATCTGTGCCTTATCTTTGGTTTCTTATAATCCAAACTAAGCAAAGGAATTTCGGCAGCATCATCCTCTGAGTTTAGATGAATGACCCCTATAACAGATGGCTATGCCCCATGACTAACAATGCTATGATAAAAGACTCCACTTTTATGCCAATTTTTTTTGGGGGGGTGGGGAGTCAACCCAGGATACTGAAAATATTTTTTGTTTGCCATGGTTGACCTGTGAAGGGTACACGAAATTGTATTTCAGAGCATAATTGCGCATTTTCTGCCATACTTTTCACCGTTGTTTCATGCTTCACTAAAGTTACTGCAGGCCATCCTAAATATCATGTTCTGAAAATAGACATGGGTTTTGGCTATTGGAAGGAAAGTTTGAATTGAAACCAGACTTAGATAAAAACTGGTTTTCCATTGTCAAATTTGTCTTAGCTCGAACATTAGGATTTACCCAACGAATAGAATTCCTTGTTTGTAACAGTGTATATCAACTTAAAAAGTAGCTCTTGTATAGCACATATTCTAAAATGTTTGTAGGTCACCTAAGTCTCTAGCAAGTTAACTGTCAATTCTTCATTTTTGAATCGATTCAGTTCCAACTTGCTCATTTTTTTTACTTTGTTGCAGAGAGTCTGACATCATGCAAAGCCCTGGCAAAATAACACGTGCCTCTACCTCCACTACAATCCCTGCTGTGTATGGGCTTCAAGGGTGGGCAGATCTCCCAGAAGGTCTGCTTCATTCCGTCGTTCCTCTGTTGGGTTCCATCATTGAGCTCCTTGCCTTCGCCGGAACCTGCCGCTTTCGCCTCATACCCATCTAAATCCACATTCTGCACCCTGCTCCCGCCTCTCCTCGTCCAGCCCCATATCAGTGTATGTGCTCCTAATCTACCTTCTAGAAGTGACGATGGTCACAAGCTCGGCACGTGCCAGGTCCTTGATCCAGCCAACATGAAAAGTACCCTTGGTTGCCAGGTTCCTGAAGAGACATTTGAGAAGTTGTGCTTTGCTGGCTCTTCCTATGGCCAGCTGATTTGTGGCTGTGGCAGAAATTGTCTTATCATGGATGTGTTCACTGGTGCCAAAGTTTTATCTCCACAGCTCCCATTTACCGACAACACTTATTTCTACTCTGGCATGCTGTCAGCTCCCCTTGCATCACCTAACTCACACCTCCTAGTTTGCACAGTGTCCAAACAGGACGGTCAGTGCTTCTTGCTTGATTGGCTGATTGGGAGTGATTGTTGGTCAAAACTACAGCTCAATAATTCACAGATTGAACAGATTGTGGAGTTTAATTGTCAGTTCATTGCAATAGACAACCACTATAAGCTCCACAATCTGTCCTTTGCCCCCTAGCTTGGTCTGCAGGAGATAGAAACTGTGTGGTGGGATGGCAAGGATGAATGCCCATGTCTAAGGCCGTGGATCGCGGTGTGTGGTGACATGCTCCTGATGGTCGACAATTACATAATCCTTTCGTCCAGTGGAGCACATGTCAAGTACAAAGCCTATCGCCTCGACATGTCAACTGTGCCTGCAGCTTTGGTGGAGGTGAAGAAGCTAGAGAATTACTCGCTGTTTATTGGGAGTGATGTGAGGAGCTCGACGTTTTCTTGCGCCAGCTTAGGACGATGGAGCGGGAGGAGCAATTGCTTGTACTATGGGTATTACGATCCACCCTTGGTGTTGCATGGAATTGGTGATGATGCAGATGCTGTGTGTGATCCAGATTATGGCCCTGATGACCTTGTGTTCAAGAGCCTTGTGTTCAAGAGGAACTGGAACACCCGACTGCAGCCCTTCTGGCTGTACCCAAGCATGCTCTATCGCTGATGGCAAGTGATCTATCTTCCTGTGCTGAAAATTTCACCTTAAATTTCTTCGGAGATCAGAGGCTTGCATTTGCAATGGATAATGCACATTGTGGTAGATGAGAGTTCGCAGACTTGCATTTTAGTTTCCAGCTGTGCTCCATTTCTACTTTTAATCTTTTGCATTAGTTATGAACTTGTTAGCTATTCTGGAAAGCCTGGAAGGCTGGATACTGTTATTCGAATGAGTAGTAGAAAAACGTTTGTATAATGTGTCTGAGCTTCCTCCGTCCATGCAATTGCTTGTATGCAGGCATCTGGGGGTTGACTTGTGCTCTACAACCTGTTTGTTTGAAGGGAAAAATATCGTTTTATGCAATTGCTTGTATGCAGGCATCTGGGGGTTGACTTGTGCTCTACAATCTGTTTGTTTGAAGGGAAAAATATCGTTTTATGCAATTGCTTGTATGCAGGCATCTGGGGGTTGACTTGTGCTCTACTATCTGTTTGTTTGAAGGGAAAAATATCGTTTTATGCAATTGCTTGTATGCAGGCATCTGGGGGTTGACTTGTGCTCTACAATCTGTTTGTTTGAAGGGAAAAATATCGTTTTATGCAATTGCTTGTATGCAGGCATCTGGGGGTTGACTTGTGCAGTTGTGCTCTACTATCTGTTTGTTTGAAGGAAAAATATCGTTTTATGCTCGCTGGATATGAAGCAGAAATCCAAATGTGTACAAGTTTTGTCTTCAACCGCTTTGTCTATGATAGATTTTGGGGGCCTGGATTTTGACAGTTAGGGTCTGGGTTACTTGAGCAAAACAAACGTCAGAAAAAGAATTGAAAAAGAATTACTCCCTCTGTTCAAAATATTGGTCGTTTTAGTTTTTTTTTTCTAAATCAAACCTCTTAAACCAAAATATGTTAACATCTATACAATACGAAATAAGTGCACTATCGAAACATATTTCATGGTAGGTTTAATGAAAACTGATTTGGTGTTGTTAGTTAACGTTGATGTAATTTCTATGAACTTGGTTAAATTTAAATAAATTTTACTTAACAAAACTAAAATTACGTACTTTTTGGACCAGAGACGGTCAGATGGTAGCTTTTAAAATCACTTCATATTCTTTTTCTATTTTTGATTTTTTGAGAATTTCATGTTCTTTTTTTGTTGAGAAATCAAACCTAATCAGTTCACATGGCTCATGATGTTGAACCCAGCTCATTTAAAGCCTAGGCCCATCCAGTTATCCATCGACTTGTTTTGCTTCCCTCCCCCCTTCCCCTTGACGTGAGATAGGAGGACCTTCGATTTCTTTCTAAAATAATATTATTATTATATTTAATTGTAGATCTAGAAGCTGTAATAGTAAAATTGTAGATTTAAGAAGCCAATCGGCTGTCCAAAAGTCAACAGTAAACTAATCGGCTAACCAGCGACCGATAGAAGCCCATCGGCGTTTGGATTACCGACATGTGGTGCCACACGATACAGCCGTCCTCCACGTGAGCGCTATTGGCGCCGATACACATATCGGCATGTGAGGGGCCTCTCTTGTTTTCTTTTTCCTTTTTTATATGATAGTTTTTTATTGATTTAGATAAAAAAAAATAGTACATATTTTAGGTTACATATTTTGATACGTAGGTATCTACGTAGTTAGAAGATGTAGACTCTAGTTAGTTAGTTAGGAAAATTAGTTTATTTGTTTTATTTTTATATTTTTTTACGTGTTGGGTCCGTTTTGCACCCATTCTTCCCTTTTGCTGCTCTTTTTTTTTATTTTTTTTACATTTTGGGTTCGAATCCTTGTTTCTTATCAGGGGATCAAAAGTTCAAAGTTTATAATTTTATATTTATTTATTATTATTCTTTTAAGTTTATATGAAAAACATAAGAAATCAGAGGTACTCATCAGAACTAAAAAAACAAATTAGGCAACCGGATGGAAAAAAAGTTAAGTAGACGATCTAGGGTAGAGCCCTTGCCACCTCCTCGCTCCGCCGCCGCCACCGCAGTCGCGCCTAGGGCCCCTCTCCTTCTTTCTCTCCGGTGCGTCTGCCAAAGACAAGAGGGGGAGGGGACCCATCCTTTTCCCACAGTTTTCTAGTGTTTTACGAGCCCAAATAAATTTTGAGCGAAATCAGATGATTTTTGGTCGGCGTCGCGTATCCTGCGATGACTTCGGTCATTGCCATGATGAGATCGCCGTTGCAGGCGTTTGAGGGAAGCCATTAGGAAAGAAGATGATGGAAGAATCTGAATAGAATATTATGTATTTTTTATTTAAGATTTTTCATGTGTAATTTGAGGTGTATTGTGCCAAGATTTAATATAAGTCCCCCTTCCCTTCGGAAAAAGTTAAGTAGACGAGCTGGAAAAAAGTGAGCGAAAAAAAACCTGAGACGGAATGAAGAATCTGAATAGAATATTATACCTTTTTATTTCAGATTTTTTTGAGATGTACTATGTTGAGTTTTAATATAATTTCTTCTCCCTTCGAAAAAATTGATGCTAGATGCAAACAAAATAGCTTATGTTTGATTTTTAGCATCTACTTAGAAATTTACAATATCTTTTGAGGTCTTTAGATATTTTGTTTGGATAGGTTGAAATAATATAAAAATCTTAAATAGTAACGAAACGTGATCAACAAAGCAAAAACATAAAAAAGGAAGTGGCTGGATGTGGATGCAGTCGATCTCCCAATGGCCGATTCGCCCATCGGCTGGCCAACTGCCGATTGCACCCGTCGGCTTCTACACTGCCGATAGCCCTTTAGTCGGCTATCTGATTACCGATAAGAAACTGCACTGTAATTTTTGCCTGCCCCATGTGCTGTCGGCTATTCATTTGCCGATAGTCGGTTACTAGTTTTGCAATTTTATAAAAGTAACACCCAAATCTGTAATTATTTATTAAAATAATATTATTTGAAAAAAAACACTCGAGGAGCTTCCAGAGTGGAAACACAGCGGTGCAGAGACAAGTCATCGAGCTCAAAGGCGGCGGCGCTGAACTGCCCGAGGAGGCCCTCTCCGCTGGCGGTGCCATCTTCCTAGGGTGGAAGAAATAGCATGATCAAATTGCATCTTTGGATCACTACTCCCTCCATTCTAAATTATAAGTCATTTTAAGAATCTTGTAAAGTCAAAGCGTCTCAAGTTTGACCAAAATTATAGAGAAAATTACGAAGATTTATGACATTAAATAAGTATACTATGAAAATATAATTAATAAGAAATCTAATGATACTTAGTTCACATCATAAATGTTATTATTTTATCATATAAATTTGGTCAAACTTGAGATGCTTTTATCCTCCAAAATTCTTGGAATGACTTATAATTTGGGATGGAGGAAGTACCTTTGATCTTTTGCACTGTAGTTCTGAACTTGTTAGGTGTGTGCTGGTCTGCTGGATAGCCTGGAAGGCTGAAACCCATTAATGTTATTTGAATGAGTAGTTTCCTCTGTCCCTGCAAAATGTGGAGATGCAATCGCTTCTATGCAGGCATCTTGTGATTTGTCTTGTGCTTCTTGTACTGTGCAATGCAATCCGTTTTGCCTTGAGGGAAAAAAGGAGTTTTGTGCTTCATGTAAAAATTTAATATGAAGCAGAAATCCAATCTCCAGAAGAAACACTAGCAGCTCTCAAATTATGAAGTCGTTTCATACTCAAATCATACGGCCCCAGAGACGCCTAGCCAAGCCCAAGCCCATCAAATGCATGGAAGCTTCCAGGTCCAGAGTGTGGAATCGGTCATCCGGCTCGAAGGCGGCGCCAGACTGCCGTAGGAGGTTCTCGCTGCCGCACCGCCATCGCCATCTACCGCTCACGGTCTGCCGGTCAGGCATGTACGCTCATTGCTCATCCAAACTGTACCCTCTCCCCCCTCGCCTCTGCCTCCATTGTGTTGTGTGGATTCCCCCTTGCAAGAACGTCTGCCTTGGTTGGTTCTTACAAGTATTGAAATCTTGGTAGGTATTCTTACTTCACTGTTGTATGAAGGGAAGGGCCTCACTGGCCCCCATTAACCGTGCAGAGGAGTACCATTCAGTTTTTTATAAGGGCATCTTATGGTGATTGCAGCAGTTGATATTTTGTGGATCAAACTATCTCTGATCTGGACTGAAAAGCTTATCCATTAAATTCGAGACAAGCATATCATTTTCGTTGGCTGAACGGATCTAAAATGGCTACTGTATCCCCAATAGTGTTAGCTTAGCTTTTATCCATTAAATTGTAGGACATCAATGTTTTAGTTATATTTCTGTAATAATAGACTAGTAGAATAACAATGATGATAAATCATGGTAGGTTATTATCCTTGTATAGCTCTTTGAAATTACTATAGAAGGTACAGTGCTCCAAGACTTTATATTGCAAGAAGGTTGGACACATTGGTATGCATTATCTTGGTAAAACCAGAAATATCCATATAATCCAACCAAGGGAATAACGTGAATCACTGTTTTGCGGCTAGTATTATTTCGCATGTTCTGTTCAGCTGCATTCTTATGCTTACAATTGACATTATGACAAACCATATGTGCTAGCCATGTTCCGTATAAATTTACCAGCTTTGCTTCCTTTATTCTCTATCCAGTTCAATCTGCTAACAATTGCTTTGGGTTTACAATCTGTCACAGAGAAGCTGCTTTCGCCTGTAAAAGTTATGTCTGAGCCTCGAAGTTGGGTAGGCCTCCCAGTTGGCCTGCTGCACTCCATTGTTGAATTGTTGGGGTCCTTCCCTGACCTTCTGGCCTTTGCAGCCACCTGCCACCCCTGGCGCTCTGCCTTGTCATCTTACCCATCCAAATCTACCTTATATCTTCTCCTCAACCCTAATGTCTCTTTATGCCCCCATCGCCGTTTTCCAAATGTTGCCAGAAACACCACTGTACCCAAACGCCCATGTTACATCATTGATATAGGTAGCCAAGATACATTACTTTGCTCTCAGATTCCTCTGCTTTCTATCGATTGTAGAAATAACCCCCCACCAAGTGCT